CGCCGTTGCACTGGCGCGCGCTGTCTGGCACGCTGGGCACTGGCCGAGGCGCTGCTACCGCTGTGTGCGGCAGCGCGGCCACGGTCGACTCCTTGCTGACCGTCCGACGATATTCTCCGACCGAACTAACTTGTAACAACATGTTATGACTTAGTATGAACCTTAAACTGATTTTTAACAGAACTTGCTGAACTTGAAGATCGGACCTAACGCTCGGCCGTGGCGCTCGCTACGTGCGAGGCCTACGGCCTTCGACCAACCTCAACCAAAACCAAAAGGTTCTCGACCAATATAACATCATTGATCACTATCTGACTTAACATGCATATTAGGACCTGAACATGCACTTACACACGCGGTGATCATGAAAGGCCGCGGCGAACGCCCGTGCGCCGCCGACGGCTATGTGCCGCCTCTCGGCCGAATTAACTTTTCCTCCGACAACTTCAGAACAATTCAAACTGAACATAATACTGGAACAATCTTAGACTTAACCACACGGACAACATGATTAATACTGAAGGTAATAATCCCTCGGCCCGAAGCTCCCGAGGCCATGCGCGATAGGCGCTGGCTACGGTCTCGGCCAATTCATCGACTTTACTTTATCTTAGCTCAACAAACTGATCATGCTGAACTTACATAGACTAAACTGATCATTTAAATGATTATGGTTTGAAAGTTATCGGAATAAACCGAACTTTGTTCGGTGATAACTTACTTAAGCATAATCGGACTTAAACACGATTTATTCTGAAACTAATCCGAACAATCATCTCTGAAACAACCTTACTATCATGATTCCTACAAGAAAAGAACATTACCTCTCAAATCTCTCGGCGGAAAACGAAAGATGGGTCGCTGGTTGCTTCGTACGCGTCCGAGAACGGCCGTGCGGTACTTCAAATTGCCGTGCGATTTTGTGTAGGATTTAAGGGAAAATTTGTTGAGACTAACTTGCTTGTGGGAGAGGTAAGAAAAGCTGGTTATATGCTGCTGCAGTTTATAAGGAAATTTGTGGAAAAAATTTTCATTCTTTCCATCTTATATATATAAACCGTGAGGGAGATTATAGGATGATGCATGGCTAATGTAACCCTTCTCCTTGCTCTAACACTTGCTTTAATTTCATGCATTTGGAGATGACTAATCTCCCCTAATTTGGCCACGTGTCTTTATCAAAACTTGAGGAAACTTGGTTTCCTAATGGAGAAGAATGCTCACGGCATTTATGACTAATTGGGAGCAAAATGATAAAAATCTTACGGCATTTGGTCTAAACATGGTGATTAATATTAATTAATCACTTATATTATGTTTAATTATTAATTAAACATAATGCTTAATCACCAAAATTATTTCGGACGTAAACTGTACGTCGAAAATAAATTTCAGTAATCCCGACTGAACTTAATTAATTCCGAAAATAATAAACGATAACATTATTATATCGGAATTAAACTTAATTTATACCGATAAAATATCGGGATATTACAGGCCAGACCTGAACCGGCCGGTCTGGCGGGCCGGCCGACCGGCGTGATTATTTTTTTTTTTAATATATATTATATATAATTATATATTTATAATAATATACGAAATATGATAATATATATTATAATTTTTTTTAATTATATATTTATAATATATATTTATAATTATAAATAATTATGAAATATAATTATATATTTAAAAATATATATTCAAGATATATTGAAAATATAATTATATATTTAAAAGCATTAAAAATATATATAATTATAATATACGAAAAAATATTATATATTAATTACATATAATTAATATATATATAATTATTAAAATATATATTAAAAATAATATATATGAAAAATAATTAATATACGAAAATATTAAATATTAAAAATATTTTTAATAATAATATTTTTAGTCATATATATATTATTATTAAAAAGTAATAAGTATTTTTAAAATGTGTTGTTATAATATAATATAAATTATTATTTTTTAATGATTACTTATAATTGATTATGTTTTGGTAATATATTGCAGGCGCCAGTTGAGGATTTTGGAGGAGATAATGTTGATTATTGGCCTTTTTTCAGAACAGATGAGATATTTGATAGTCTTAAAAAAGCTATTAACTATGCAGTCGGTATGGCAACTATCTGTGGTTTTGAACTAATTATTTCAAAGCACTCAAAGGGAGGAACATTGAGGATTCTGAAGTGTAACCGAGGGGAACGTTATCGAGGTAATAAAATATCCAATCTTGTTAATGCTGTCCTCAGAAAGTCGAAAAAAAAATTTACCGGATGCCTGTTTGAGATGAAATTGAAAAAAGTGGCCGGTTCGAATGATTCCTGGAGTGTATGTTTTCCTCTGGATGACCGGAAGGGATACCATAATCATCCGATGGTTTTGTATCCCGAGGGTCATCGACAGTTCAGCGGATTGAGTGAAAAGGCGAGACAGATCGTCCGTGACATGAATGCTGCCCAGGCAAGACCGGCGATAATATTGGCAGCGATACACGAGAAATACCCGACT